GTGGATTTTTTAAAGAATATTTTTTCAAAGCCTATCAAAGGCGTGGATTTTTTAAAGAATATTTTTTCAAAGCCTATCAAAGGCGTGGATTTTTTAAAGAATATTTTTTTAAGGCCTATCAAAGGCGTGGATTTTTTAAAGAATATTTTTTCCATGCCTATTGAAAGGCGTGGATTTTTTAAAGAATATTTTTTCCATGCCTATTGACAGGCGTGGATTTTTTAAAGAATATTTTTTCAAGGCCTATCAAAGGCGTGGATTTTGTTGTTTTTTAAAGAATATTTTTTCAAGGCCTATCAAAGGCGTGGATTTTTTAAAGAATATTTTTTCAAGGACTATATAAGGCGTGGATTTATTAAAGAATATTTTTTCAAGGACTATATAAGGCGTGGATTTTGTTGTTTTTTAAAGAATATTTTTTCAAGGCCTATCAAAGGCGTGGATTTTTTAAAGAATATTTTTTCAAGGACTATATAAGGCGTGGATTTTGTTGTTTTTTAAAGAATATTTTTTCAAGGACTATAAAAGGCGTGGATTTTGTTGTTTTTTAAAGAATATTTTTTCAAGGACTATATAAGGCGTGGATTTTGTTGTTTTTTAAAGAATATTTTTTCAAGGCCTATCAAAGGCGTGGATTTTGTTGTTTTTTAAAGAATATTTTTTCAAGGCCTATCAAAGGCGTGGATTTTGTTGTTTTTTAAAGAATATTTTTTCAAGGCCTATCAAAGGCGTGGATTTTTTAAAAAATATTTTTCAAGGCCTATCAAAGGCGTGGATATTTTAAAGAATATTTTTCAAGGCCTATCAAAGGCGTGGATATTTTAAAGAATATTTTTCAAGGCCTATCAAAGGCGTGGATTTTGTTGTTTTTTAAAGAATATTTTTCAAGGCCTATCAAAGGCGTGGATTTTGTGTTTTTTTAAGAACATTTTGTTTTAATATTTTTCTCTCATTATTGACGTGGTCTCGTAAAAATTCTACACTATACCTCCCCTAAGTTGCACTAGGATTTAGTTGCTATCCCCCTTCCACCTGTTTGTCATATCAACCAATCTAAATCATAATTTGCCGGTGGTAATGATGATAAAACACAAAATGATAGCGGCGACAATGTTGATCTGAGCTGAAAACTATGATGATGGTGTTATTTTTCAGATTATTCTAAGGTAAAGACACATTGACAGACCCTCAGCATTAAATGCTCCGTTGCAGGTTTAATGAACCTTCCTTTCATAGTTCTGTTTTCTTTTATTATTGTATGTTTACCTCGTGTCGGCTTTGTTTGGTTTCAAGATGAAGTTATTCTTTCTCCCAATTGAAGAAAAAACAGACGACGACGAAGAAGAAGGGTAAATAAATAGATTAGTTTTGACAAGCAACGGAAGATGAAACAATTGTCTAGAATAAAACAATAACAAAAAAAAACAAGAAAGTCTAACATAGAACATGATTTTATTACAAAACCTCCAGCAATATCATTTTCATTGTTAGATGTTACCTTTTTTACTGGTCGTCGTCAAATAAACACACATACCGACATATGTGTGTGCATAGTTCTAGATAGAATTCTCTCTTTGTGATATTTCAATTTTTTATTACCATTTTCCATGTTCTTCTTGCCAGCTGAGGGTCTATTTCCGTCTGCTTGTATCTGTCGTCCATTTCATGTGGCTGTGGTTGCTTAATTATTTGAACATTACCATTGTGTGACTGGCGGAAAAAGAAGGGTGTTGTTCACTGTAATTATTGTTTAGGTAATCATGTTCCATGTATATGCTTGATGTCCTCTATGGGTGTCACTTTTGTGTTCTTTTGTTACCAGTTTTTCTAATTCACTGAAATTATACACTTTTTCCCCCACTAATCTTTGGGACTTCGCAGAACTGGTTTTAGAAAATTTTTGGATCGGAATTTCTGGAAGATGTGACAAAGAATTCCAACAAAAAACAGACTGTTGAAATACTGATTTTTTAATAGAAACATTAATTTCAAGCAATAAATTAATTCCGATCGGTGATATCCGAAAGTGCGCCAATTATGAAGCAAAGGACAAATAATATTTCGAAATTTGAAGAGTCCTTAAGCATTTTAGTAAGAATACCAATTGTGCATTTTTTCCTTTTTTCATAAGAAACCAAAATGCATAAGAATTTACAGGACAGGCCAAATATTGAAAAATTATAAGTCAAATAGGAATGCTGGATAATACTAATTTATGTGAAACGTATTTAAAGTTTATAATGTTTCGAAAATACGCAGTTTTCCATTATCTGCAATTATATCTTAGTCGCGTGGGGACCATTCTTTTTTTTTTTTTGGTTTTATAAGATATAACCTTTTCAGACAAGGAGAATTTTGGCCTCTTTAATTTAACCACATATGGGGAATATGTCAAAACCTGTGTTGTCAATTTTCTGTAAAGAACTGGTTTACCGTCCAATAATTCAATAGGTCAAATTACATCAATATCAGTTGGAAAATGCAAATACCACTATCAAAATACCTAAAATAGAGCGTTATGTGTATATGACGTTTTCATTGACGTAGAAAAATTTAGAGAAAATCATGAAATACGAATTTTAGCATACTAGGTCCAAAACTAATTTCAAAATTCTAGCTAAAATGTCAACTGTAGCAAAGTTAGTACAGCTTACATACCTGAACAACTGTCATGTAATATTTCAAAATGTGCTAAATTTGGTACCAATTAGAGTACTTTTAGTTCAATTTCGGTTATCGCCGGATATCTATATCGATTTTCAGGATTCTGACTCTAATTTTAGTACCATTCAGGGTATTTGGGTAATCGTAAAATTACATTAAGAATACCAAAAAACCATCTACTAATCTCAACTCAAGAGAATAATTCCATACGAAATTTACAGTTGCTACTTCCAAAATTAATATTATCTCTATTTTGGTCCATACGTTCTACAAAAGTAGAGTTTGCGAATTCCTGACTTTTTTTCATTGCCGGAAATTAAAAAATTTCATTCCCGGGTTCCTGGATTTCCTGGGACTTTCTACAAGTTATATAAATAACAAGTAAAAAAGTGTAAGTCGGTGTTGCCGACAGATATATACCCTCATCCTATGGTTTGCGGAGGTATCATACTTTATATAAATAAATCAATCTGTCTAGCATAAATATTGCAATATCTATCGTGATTTCAGCAGATCGGCAGACAAGCAGTCAACAACAGTAGTTTTTCTGCATTTCCCTAAGGGATGCAGGACATTCTAGGTTTGTGAGTCCACAAGAGTTTGTAACGCCGCAAAAAATTGGTCCTTGATCGATCTAGATCCGTCTGTCCATTATAATTTGTAAACACCATACAGGCCACAGTTATGGAACAATCTCCATCAAATTTTGCATGTTGGGTTCTGGTTAAAGGAGAAATCTAGATGATAGAGGATGAGAGGGACCAAAAACTTTATTTTCTAGTCGCTCAAGAGGCAAAATTATGACCCGAACATCAAAAAATTTTACAGAGAGAAAATGATCTGACCATAGAAATAAGCATGACTGTTTTGATGAAGATCGATCAATATTTAGAGGGTCAAATTGAGCCAGACTTTTATGTGAAAAATGGCAAAGTATGTATTATATATATTTACTCCTGAATAACACAGGCCCGAGAAGTTGGTAGTATATCCAAGAGAAGGAATTAAATTGGGATATGTCGTTGGATGTGGGAGTTATGCGTAAATATACCTATTCTTTTATTGATTAGTTTTGCCATTACCACACTCGAGGGCGGAAGTGTTACGGTTATGGTCAAGGACGGCTTCTATAATTTCGATGACGAACGAAAACTTTATTTTTGTCCAATTTTCGAGTCGCTCGATTCGAATTTATTGATCAGATATCCTTCCCCATGTAAAATTTCTAATGTTCGGTTGATAATTGTGGCGTCCAATCAACCGAACATCAGAAATTTTCTATGGAAAAGAGAAATTAAGCTTTTCGTGTTAACTAACCCAATATTAATCTTAGGGGCCGTTCAAGTATTACATAACTAGATTTATTGCAATTAATTATACCCCCTCCCCTTGTCATCAAAATTAAGCATAGCTCTTAACCTAAAATAAGCAAAAGCGATAAAAAAAAGTGCTTACGTAATACTTGAACGGTCCCTTATGGAGTAAGTAAGTATCATATGTCCGACTCCATCCGACTATTTTTATCTTTAATATCCTGCGAATCCTTTCAACAACCAACGACTTTTACCATGACCAGAGATAAGGCTTATCAGTCCAGAATGGATAGACTGACATTTTTTAAATTTAATGTACGGTGAACGGAGTATCCTACTTGATCTAAACGTTGGACAACGGTCCCCCTTATCTGGTTTTAGGGGTATTTGCACATTTTTAAAACGAATTGTCTATAATTTTAAATTTAGGATAGGATTTAAGAGGATTGACTAGAAATTCTCCCTAGCAAAAACTACAAATATTGTTTCAAGTTTCAGGGTAGACTTTAGCATTCTTATTGGATTTCAATTATTTTTCTTACCAATATCTGTCTATGATTAGATAACTGGGTTTCGTGGTTTTTTTGTGATTTTAATGTCCAGCTGATGGCGAAGGGTATAAATTAACAATGTATTTACTCGCATATATTTTTCTCTAACAATTAACTTATCTCTAATTAATTTCATTTGAATTCTCTACAATTTCAGAAGCAATATTGAAAAAGGAGCCATCCCGGCATTCTTTAGATGTGACTCCCTGAAGAACCATCGATTATAACAACTCAATTGGAAGTACCAGTCTTTAAAAATGCTGTAAGTCCCCTTAAATATTTATTTGTGTTACCATTCTCAGAATGCATTCATTAAGAACCATCACTTGTATATAGATTCTCACGTAGCACTTTATCCATTAACAATTTCCACGTTTTCTGTTCCTAATAAAACCACAAAAAACAAAAAACATCTAAAGATAAACGACATAACCTCCATACATCCATCCTACACCAAATAAAAAACAAACAGGAGACAAATTCTATTGAAAAATCATCAAGAAGCCCAGACAATGGCCGATAGTCGGGAACGAATACGTGGACCCTCCAGGGATGGTCGGGAGTTTTTGACAAGTCCACGTCAAGTACTGCGACGTTTAATGTTATTATCCGAGGGACGTCAATATCGTGAAGCTGCTGGCGTTGTTGGCCGTTTAGGACCATCGGTGTTGAGATCGGTTATTGCCGAACTGCCAATTGATTTGTTGCTGGAACATTTGCCGCATAGCGCCTATCTGTTGGAGTCATTCTTTTCGAGGTGAGTAAAATAATGCGTTATTAAAGTACTTACAAATAATAGGAAATTATGTATATTTTCAGACTAATCACAGTCAATCCCTCACCAAAACCTGATGTACCCACTGAAGCCGTCCTCTGGCAGTTGGTAAAACTTTTCTCCAATCCCCATGACCCGGGTTTGAAACAACGTTGTGTAACTCTGCTACAATCATTGGTGCAATATGAACCGAATTTACGGCATACCATACGAGAGACCCGCAAAAACTTCAACGATGCTGTTCAAGGTTTGGGTATTCATGGACTTACCACAGATTCGTCAGGACAATTGATATCCCTACATATTGCACTGAAAACAGAACTACAACGGCACATCGACACCTACAAAGTTGCCCTACACAAACTGGAGGAGTTAAGTGCTATCACCATCAATCAAGATCCTGCTCACTCCTCCCATCAACGTCTCTTGGCCATTAACTATGGCGATATTCAGCAGCGTTTGATTGATAATAAAACCATTCTCACCCTACTCGATAAACCTGCTCTCAAACAATTAGCTAGTCTTATTGAAAATCTTGCCCAACGTGTTGAGAACGACAAGGAGGTACTTAAGGCAGTCGGGCAAGTGAAGAGAGTGGATATGCAGGCGAATCTGGAAAAACGACCAGCTGCTGGGCTACTTATGAATTTTGCCCGTGGCTGTGAAGTTGTTCTGCAGATGATGGGACCAGAAAGTTTAAGCAGTCCCAACAACACACCAAGCATTGGTTCACCGGCTGGTGGCAGTAACAGCAGTTGCAGTGATGGCTATCATTCTGATGATTCAGCTAATGAAGAAATTAGGTGAGTTCGCCACACAACTATTTGAAGTACAGAAATCACTCTCACTTCTAGGTAACTCCTCCATGTTGTGGCTATGTTTGGGAATTTTTGTTTCTTTTCAACAAAACACTTTCTCAAATTGAACTAAACAAGCCAATCGCCTAAGGTGTTTGAGATTACCTTCAACTAAGTTATTGTTTTGTTTTACCTATGACTGATTTCAATTGATGTTTTCATTTTTTTGTCTTTGGTTCTCTATTTTTGGTTTTGTTTTTAGCGGCATGGTATCACAGTATCGTTTGTTGTATCTAGAAAATAGGACAGATACGTTGGAGGCATTGGACAGTTTACCCCAGCTAAAACACGTTCACAATTTGAAAGCAAAAATCTTATTTTCAATAATAGTGGTAAGTACTCGTATCCAGAAATTGTATTTATTCGTTTGTAGTAATGTTTCTATTTTCAAAATCGTGATGAAATGCGTGGTAAAATCATTTGACTAGATTTCACCTGAAGCGAAACGATTTTGATTGATTTGACACACCTAGGCTAAAATACCATTTTGTACAACAATATATTTCGAAATTAGCAATAGAATCGGATCGAAAACTGAAATGAATATTAGTTTAAATATGTATACGAAAAAGTATATGGACCAGCAGTGCAATAAAGCGGGGGCCATGAGTTTGCATTTTTTAAACATATAAGAGTCATAAAACGCAGATTTTTTTTTTTGAGGGCTATCAAAGTCCCATTATAAAAATATTTTTCTTGTACTATCATTAATGCTTGATCACAAGTTTGATTTTTTTAAAGATACATTTAAACTTCCTTCAACGCGGATTATTAAATAGATTGTGTATTGTGGAGATCATTACTTTGCGTTAATTTTTTTAATAATAAGTTCCTGCTTTAAGAACTTATTTTTTTTAATATTTTCTTATTTATAAATTTGTTGACCTGTTTTCAACGGTTTTTTTAAATGGTTTGTCTTAGTTAGGTACTGTACGGCTATGATTTTTTTTTAAATTTATCTAGTTCTTTCAGTTGTGTAATTAAATATTTTCTGTAGTGTTGGCGGTTTATTTGGGATACCATTTGTATTTTGTTTTTTCAAAATAGTCAGGCTTAATCCCAGTTTGTTGTTTTTTATAAAAAACAACTATTTATTGGTGGGGAATTTGTAAATGTCTTGTTAACCTCGAAGTGAGGCTCCAGCGAAATTCTCATGCAGTTTATTTCGTTGGTCAGCTATGACTTTTGGGTATGAAAGGTTTTTGTATGAAAGCAATAAATAGCTTCTGAGGAGAATATCCCAACAGAAACTAAGGGAACTGATTAGGATGGCGTGATCCGAATAATAAATAGTTGTTTTTTTTATAAAAACATCAAAGTGAGATTCAGCCTGACTATTTGGCAAAAATTAAATATTTGCACTTAACCCTTTGTAAGCACGTTTTATGGACTTTTACTCACATTATATAAAGCTTGTTTCTTAAAAAAACTACTGTGATCTTACAATGTTTTCAAGACAGCATGAACAATAATTTAAATCTGGCATGATTCCAGCAAAGGAACCAATCTATAGGACATTAAGAATAAATTTTATCGTGATGTTCGCCCTACCTGAAACAGATGCTACAATGTGGATTTCAAAAAATAATTTCAGCAGTTTTTCTTCAATAATTTTTCTTCTCTTGTAGTTGTTGTATTGTCGATAACAAATAATACGACGGATGGATCAATGGATCCATTCTGCTTATGCGTTTAGCATTGACATTTTTAATTCGGTATTTATATATATTTAGAAATATAATTTTCCGTTTTCCCGGGAAATAATATCGGGAAACCCCGGGAATATCGAAGTCAAAAAATTGGGAAATCCCGGGTATACCCGGACGGGATCTCATATAAAGATATCATCCATTTTCGGAATTTTGAAGGTTTTAATCGCACTTTCCAATCGAAATGGCTATCAATTGGAATTCCGGTTTATTGGTGGGTTAAAACCTCTTGACCTCTTGATTGGCATAGCCTCAATATATAGAGCCCGCCAAATTTTGTGTATTTGTATGATGTTATGTATTTTATGTTAAAAATGTACTCCAATAAGTAAAAAAGCCTCAGTTAATGTTCCCGACAGCTATATACCCTTAGTGTATGGTTTTCAGAGGTCTGCGAATAATAAAACACAGGTTTTTATCATAGAGTTGACCATCTTTGGGGAGATACCAGAAGAGGTTGCTCTATAGACCCCATCTTTGTATTTAGATTAGTAAAGTTTGGATCAAAACAGACATTCTATTATGTTGATCATGATCTATGAATATTCCGCTCCATATGAGATTTGCAAGTTTTGAAAATGTTGGCAGAGGAAGTGTGTACCCATAAGTCTCATATCCCAACAATATACAGGCATGCTTACATTTTAGGTTGTGCAAAGTTTAAAATTGTATGTATGGGAGGTATTAGAAGGAGTGAAACGGGATGATGGACTAACTTTAATAAAGTTTGAAAGAAATATTACAATGTGCATATTTGGCATCAAATCGGACAAATCGATACCATTGTTATTAAATTAACAAAATTTCGATATTTTGACCCATTGTGGGGAAAGTACCAGAAGGACTGGATTGATGTGTCCCATCTTTGAATTCGATCTAGGCAAGGAAACATATTAAGGTGTGCAAAGTTTGGTTGAAATTAAATATTCCGTTCGCTATATATGAGATTTACACATTTTCAAATTTATAACCATTTGTGGGGGTAGGTAACAGAAAGAGGTGACCGATAAGTCCCATCTACCAACAATAGTTTAAAAATCTATTTTGATCCGATGCTCTGTTCGCATCATATCATAAAATACATTTTTAGCTCAATTTTGACAATTTTGTAGAGGGATACCAGAAGGAGTGGACCGATTTTCTCCATTATCTAACTTAATGTGAGTCTAAAAGAAATTTTACGATGTGCACAATTTAGATCAAATCGGACATTCTTTTGGCCTTATATTGGATTTATAAATATTGACAACGTTGAGGTTTTGTTCTAGAGGTATCGTAGATATTTCTATATTGTCCACAAGTATATACCATGGTATTAATTGTTGCATGGAGGAGAATATAAAATGTGAAGTCCGCCCAAGGTTTTACTTGTTTAGGCGGTAATTTAAAAAAAAATATTATTTTTATACCCTAAGCCTTATGTCTAATGATATATACACTATGATACAGTGAAAATGTGTCTCATAGAAATATTGGTTTTAGACTTTTTTTGACCAAATCCGTTTCACAAAATTTGGCGGTATCTTGTGGCACCTCCCCCACAAAGGGTCATCATTTTCAAAATTAATAAAACTATTATCAGGCGAATGGAATGTCCCATTTAAACCAACCTCTGCACAACATATTATCTTTCAAACCTAGATCAAGTTCGAAGATGAGACCCATTGGTCCACTCTTTCTGGTACTACAACCCCCACCCCCCCAACATCAGGTGAATTGAATGTCCGATTTGAACCAAACTCTGCACAACCTATTACCTTTACGAAGCCTAGAGCAAGTCCGAAGTTGAGACACGTCTGTCCTCTTCTCTGGTACCACCCAAAAAAGGATCAATATTATATCGACTTGCACATTTTATTTGAATAACAGAATTGATCAATTTAAATCTGAAACTTCTTTGATAAAAACATATACCTTATATGAATCGAAAAATAAAACTGTGTGTAACTCCGAAGACCTTCTCCGCAAACCATAGGGTGAGGGTAGCAACGCCGACTGACACTTTTTTACTTGTTTATCTTGAAATCACGATGAATATCGTATAATAGCTTTGAAATTTTGCATATATACTGCTCCACTTATTGATGTAGTTTCATTTTGATACTTTGGAGGTCGTAGTCGCAATTCCAAATGAATGGTAGATGAAGAACTTATTTTAAAATATGCCTATTATATGTTCGCGTTTCGTCTTAGAGGCTCTGCCCTATTTTAAGTATTTTCAGGATAATTTTTCTAACGAGGATATAATTTTCCTAACTTCGTATTTTTAAATTTAAAATGTAGATCCTTATTTTGATCTTACCTCAATACAATGTTACCGCATCATTTTAATAATTTTTAAAGTCATATGCCTCTCAGCGCATTTTTGCATAGCCCTAGGCACATTTTCCAACCAAACTGGATACTAATTGGCATTTTGGGTGTTTAAATACTTTTTGTTTTCACCTATATAACCCTCACTTAAATTGGTAATTCGTTCTATTAGTGGAAAAAAGACCTCCCTGGCAGATAATTTACAATGTAGATCCATGCTTTATGCCATATGTGGGTCACAACCGATTTTATGTTTTTTGATTGCCTACCTTATGGTAATTTCGTTTCGGATGAATTTAAAGAATTACTTGCTTTATGCAGTCATCGCGCAATGTGTACAGATTTCATCCACTATGTGGTATAGGCCCAATATAGGGGTACGATTCTATCAGAATTCTTCGATATGTTGGGTATGAAATGAACTATCGGTTTTGAAGACTTCCACTGGAATTTACCCTTAATTCGTCACTGGCCATGATTATTTAAGTCATTGCGGACGGAGTCAATCACATCCACATGAATGACCCAACAAAACACGTCTTTCCAAAGCATGTTTGAAAATAATGTTGCCTCATAAGAAATATGAAAATTAAGAGTTTCAAGAGCTGCGAAATAATGATCCAAGATCAACCTTTTGATGATCATTAACATGTAGCAGGTCAAATATTGGTCTGTACATTTAGTGTGAAATATTATAAAATCGTCATACTATGGGTTATATGTTTACTGCGGAAAGGAATAGTCCGGAGATGTTGTAGTGTTTATGATCTTGAAATTAATATCAATTATGTTGTACTCGTATGTAGAAGGCTCTTTCCGATATTACTTTGCTTACTGGGGTTTAAAGATTTTTCCATGTGAGAATTTCTAAACATAAACCTTTCGTTTTTGAGGGTTTTTTGCACCGAATAAAATTCAAAACTGTTCAATATTCATAATTAAGGCTACATGTTATGTTAGCTAGACTATTAAATTTTATTATTTCAAATTACAAGACAGGATATTTCATTAATAAAATTTTAAAAATTACACGGACACACCTTCATTTGTAGCAAATTTTATATGCCTCTATTACAGTGTGATAATATATAACTAAATGTATATTCCTCTCAATAGCCTCCTATTAAAGTTGATAATTAATAGTCACATTCAAAATGATAAATGCTGTTACAGTTTTTTTGCCTTTTCTCAATAAAACTTTCGTTTTCTAACTTGAAACTTATTCAATCTTGTTGATGGACAGGATCGCACTTTTCATCAAAACCAAAATCCCCACTTGCAATGCAACATTCGAAGTATTTCATCATTTGCAAATTTACACACAAAAAGCCAATGGCTAATTGAAAGTCAAATTACCAGTTTTTATAGAAAAAATAAGTTATTGCACCGTCAAGTTGATAATTTAAAGTTAGTCGATCAACTTGGTTATCATTTGAAAGAAAGATAAAAAACCAAAACTTGTCATTAAACTTCAAAATGGAGTAGTTATTTGAAAGACAGCATCAATTTATTTTCATCCACTATCTAAATAGTTATATTTATAAAAGTATTTAAGATATGGTTATAACAATGTTGTTATGATTTTTTCTTTTAAATGCAATTATTTAATGTTGTTGTTTTCATTTTTAGCTTTCATTTCGTTTGTGCCACGGCATGCGAGAACGCAAAGTTATGGAAGTGCGACGCACCCTCAATTGCCCACTGGATAGTACAAATGAAATAACTTTGGCCCTGGATCGATCTATACGCCAACATTTACATGATACCATTGATACGTTTCCATTGGGTGAAATCGAAAGATCTGTTTTTAATCAGGTAAGGTGTGAAGTGAACTATAATTTGGATTTTTATTTATTGATGTAATTGTTCTCCAATTATAGGTGTTATCAACGTTACATGAATATTCATGTTTGGAATCATGTCCACCACTAATGCACTTTGTTAGTGCTTGTGTTCGTCTAGCCTGGAAAATGGTTAATCAAAAGGTGCCCTATTATTTGGATAATGATTTTAATTTGGGTAAGTATGAAGAAATAAATTATGTAGAAAATAATTTTATTATACTTAATAATAGATTACAAGTATGGTTATAATTAATATTAAACTCACATTCATATTTTTGTACAAAATTCATACACATTTGTAAATACTTCCAATGACCATAATCTTTCCAAAGAATATGATAACATAAATCCGTGATACTCCAAAACACTACCATTGTACTTTAACACTAGATTTACAGATATTGAGTATATACCTACATTCACGGAAGTGAACCAATTTGACTAATACCAGAAAATTTTAGTTTGTTCGTGAAGAAAACGTTTTCAATTCTATTTAAACAAAATATTCATTATCCCAAAACTCATAGAAAGCGTTTTTACATATAAACTTAATTTTTATACACTCAGCCTTATGGCTGAAGTGTCTGTCCAGCCGGTTGATGCAAGCGATAACTCTCGAAAGAAGTTTAAGATTTAATCCAAACGTTGCACATAGAATTATTTCCTCCAATGCTAAATCTTATTCAAAAATGGATAATGTCAGACCTTCCTGTCCTGTTACCTTCCCTACAAATGGTCAACATTTTGCTAAAAAATTAAATGTTAATATCCTGTGAAAGGATTGTCCCTTTTTGATAAAAACTTTGTTTACCTAATATTTGTATTATAAGGTGGAAATTCGAAGGTGGGAATTATTGGTCCACTCCTTCTGCCTTCTCTTCCACAAAGGGTCCATAAGTTGAAAATGTTTAAATATCTTACAATGGAGTATCCGATTTTGTAAAGTCTCTCCACATCGTAATATATGTGATCCATTTCTCATTTACAGCCACCATCCGTTTAAGAAATGGGCCTATCTCATTGCGTTTGGCCAAGACATCGCAGATGGAAATTCGATCCATCCTATTTTTTTTGTTAATTGGTTGGGCAACCAATCATCGACTTTTTTAATCCAGCTTTGTGTAAATGGTTTAAAATAGTTTTATGGTCGATTTATAGCTCCTCGGCGATGTTACGACTGCTAACATGCCGATAAACTTCGATCATTTATCCGATTTTATCGACATTTTCGACGACCGGCCTAATGGATTTCTTTTTCCCCAAACTAATATTAAGGGCATGTAATTCAATCAAATTTATTATGATTGTAATTTGAAGCCATCCAGCCTATTAAAGATAAATTACAATAAATTTTCGTTTGCCGAAGAAACGAGGACGTAAGGAAAATGATGTTCACGTCATGTAAGAAGTAATTTGAGACAAGATAATAGATCTGCTATCGATGGATCTAATCGCAAACTTTATTCGCTTCATATAAAATTTAACAATTTTCAAAATGTTAAGAATTTGTGGGGGTGTACGATGTATCACATATTCAGACTTCATTTAGCTTTAGGAAAAATATTTTGCTGAGCAATTTTTAATATAAAACTACAAATACCCAATAAAATAATAAAACCAGTGAGCGGAGCAGTATATTCGAACGGGGCCGACCATATGATACCCTACACAACTACCACTGAAGTCTAAGTTTTTGCGGTTCTATATTCCGAGCCAGCGAAATATTTGGCGATATTTGATTCGACTCTCTTGACCGATTATTGGTTAACAATTCCACTTTATAACCCTGACATTTTTTCCAAATATGAATTCCCATAGGTGAATATTTCCCAATAAAAAATCTAAATATTATTTCAACATAACCGGAAATTATAGGCGTCGTCCTTGACCATAACCGGAAGTTCATGTCAAATTTCAAAGCGATAAGTGCGACATTTTCGCCCTCTAGTGGGGTAATATCATAACACATAGACTCCTTTAAATATTTATGTATAATATAACAATATAATTGGTATCACTTTAAAGGTCGACAACTCTTCTAGCATATACTGTCCACTTCTATTTCCTTCAGGAATAAATATATACGCCCCAGAAAACCTCTTTTGTAATTTTTCACCCAAAATTTGGTTCCATTTGACCCGCTACATATTGACCGGTCTTTATCGAAACAGGCATGCATATTCTTTGGCCCTATCCCCTTCTAAGTGTAAAATTTTGGAATGTTTGGGGCATAATATCACATATCGATTCATCGATGAGACAATGTTTTTCGGGTTAATGGTAATTAAGTCTGAGCATATAAAAACTTCATCTATTGGATGGCCCCGTTTTGAGGGCTATGCCTAAATATGGATCCAATATAAAAAGCCTGTTCTTGTCAACACATTACACATATTGAACATTTTCTGCCAAGAAGTGTTATGAAAACCCATCAAATGGATAGGTAAAAATACTGCGGGAACTTTATAGGAAACTACGTCAAAACATGGACCCTTATTAAAAAATATGATAATAATATCTAAATTAGCAAAAAGTAGACCTACACCCAATAGTGGGCATATATATCCCATTTACAATTGTCAGAACCAATAACAATTAAATATATCGACCTCTATAGTGATTCATACAGACAGGCGTATATGGATAATTCGAAATAGAAAAGTCTGATTAAAGATAAACTACAACTGGAAATCTCAACAACTCCTAATATATAGCCGATTTATTGTGTCAAACATCAACCAACAACAGAAGTGGTTCTCAAACTTTAAACGCGTTTTTCTTTGAAACTCTATATTCTGAATATACATATCTATCGTATAAACTAGGATTAATGTAAGCAATCAAGATATTCCTTATATTGTAACATGGTTTGTGGGCAATAATAGGAAATTTTCCAAAAAATTTATTTCATAAATAATAACCATAGTTCACACCAGAACCATTCATCTACTCATTCGAATGCCGTTGGAATTTTTGGATTCGGAAGTTCCAGTGGTCGGAAATAATGTCAGCACACTTCTATAATTTGTAAGAGGTTGCAATCCGAATATTTAGTGAAATTTACTACCATTCACCCTATATGATTGTTCGATTGAGACGAAATTTTGCACCGCATAGGGAACTATATCTAGAATAGCGTTACTAAGTTGTGTATAACTCCATTCAGATTTAAATGTAGCTCCCATATACAAAGTGCCAAAATAAACCTAATATAAAGTGTGTTACAATGTGTTGGAATCGGTTAAGATTTAGATACAGTTCCCATGTAATTTTGCCCGATTTTATTTGAATTGCACCAATTTCCAGCCTGTGTCCGATTGAGACGAATTTTTGCATAGCCTAACGAATTAAGTCTAAAATGACGTTTGTATTACGATTTGTTGAAATCGGTTAAGATTTTACAGGAAAATGTTCACATATGGGGACTAGGCCTGACCGTTGACCAACATTGATAATTTTTAATAAGAACTATATGCCATCTGATGAGTGGCTACACCAAAGCGTGGACCTATACCTTTTTCGTTTGAAGATTTTATATTCAATGAGAAGGCAAAATAATAAAATTTATTTTTTCGTTTTACCATGTAAAATTATTACTTCGAAAGGTTACAAATGACATTCTGGTGGAGGTTATACAAAATTAATAAGTTTTATCATCTTATATAATAAGATAGTTATCTAAGTACTTTTTAAGAACAAATTTAAATCTCTCTCACGTCATTTATCCCTTTCGAAAAATAACAGGTTTCCTACGCCCCGAAAAACATGAACGCCATGCCCAAGCCGATCGACGTTCGGACTTAATAAAAGCCTTCCTGTGGCCAGCGCTAATGCAAAACAACCACTGTGTGTTCAAAGCGATTGTGGTGACTTAGTAAACGATGCATTTTTTCCATTATAGAATAAAAATTCATACAGATAAGTTTTATTAAAATAAGTTCTAGATTTTGTACATATTCGTAGTAATATTATAATTTTATAAAAATAATAAAAATTGTGTATAATTACAATAATAAATAAATTAAAAATATATATTACATAATAAATAAAAACATATAAATTTCAAAACCATCAAAAAAATTAAAAAAATTTATACAACAATTGGTTTTAAAACTACACTTAAACTACACTCTTTATTTGTACATTGCAATGTGTTGTGCTTGTAAAATTCGATAATATCATTTGGGCTCTGATATAATCGCTCCTGACGTTTCTCTTGTCCTATGGCAAATAACTCCGTACCCGGTATTTGTCTTATAAATAAATGGAAAAATTGTTGCTGGGCATAAATGCTGACTATGTATTTTATGCTAATGTCCTGCAATGAAAGAAGAGATTTTGATTTATTATAATTATTAATATATAGTTCGCACTATGTGTAAGTACCATAAATATTTACCTCTTCTTTGTAAGGCCTAACTAAACAAGTACCATCCTCCCTTCCAGTGAGTATATCTTCAGCAGTTGCCCGATCAACGGTCCGATAAAATGGTTCAGTTTCTATTTTACGTTTCTCAATTTGTAAGTAATTGGCATCAATGTCATCTAAAATATCAAAAAAGAAATAAAAATATTAATAAATAATAATAAAATCAAAAATACAGGGTTATACATTTCGTGGTTTTAAAATTAAACGTTTCTACCACATATTGCATAAATACGTTATTTCGCATAGACCAATAAAACCAGTAAGAAAAGTTGAAAAGTCAGACGGGGCCGATTATATGATGATCATATGTACTATACCCTGTAGATAGAACAGATATAGCATTTTCGGAGGATCATTGAAATGGGGCGAAATCAATTTTGTGATCTACGTAGGTATTTAAACCAAAAACAAAATCAAACACCTACCATTCTGATATCTATGAAAAAATTACATGTTAATATGGCAGACTTGGATTTTTTGGCGTATCATTTGTATGAAATCGAGCAAAATTATGTATGGAAGCTATATATAAATCTGGTCCCAATTGAGTAAGCGTGGCATACACCATTTGGTTTTTCTGAAGCAGAGTGCGCTGACCATAATTTATCTACATCTGAATATATTTTACCAAATCCAATACGCGCTGTTTAAACTCCAATTTGGTACGTTGTACACCATCGTAAAAATCTTAAGTTATTCGGAAGCTATATTTAAACCTGAACCGATTTCAATCCAATACTCCTTGTAATATTTCATGTAAAGCGAACAAAAATGGGCTCCTCGGGAAAGATTTGCATGAAATTAGACGAAAATATGGATGGGACCTACATCAAACTGGACCTAATTCATTACACTGTGCAAAATTTGGACTTAATCGGGCAAATATTGGGAGTTTGGTGTTCTATTTACCTAAAATCGATAGAAACTATATATGGCAGCTATATGTCAACCGAACCGAATTCAATGAAACTTCGCAATGTGGATCTAATTTAGTACTCTATGCCAAACTTTGTCTCAATCGGACCAATGTTGGGAGTTTTGTGCACCATTTACATAAAATCGGACGTATATGGGAGCTATCTAAATCTGAACCGATTTTCTCCAATTTCAATAGAGTTCGTCCTTGGGCGAAATAAGTGACCTGTGATAAAATTCATCCAAATCGGGTCAAAAATGCGACCTGTACTTGGCTCTCAAAAAATACATGGACGGACATGCATAAATCGACTCAAAACGTGATTCTATGCATATTCTCAAAAGGAACCATGTGTATATCTTCATTGCTTTTTGCTGTTACAAACATATGCACAAAGACATAATACCCTGTACCACAGTGTGGTGAAGGATATAAATATTCGTCGGAGACCCCATGAAGTAAATATATCCTCAAACCAATGCAATGTCGGTATGTCTATGTCCATCATTATGCTCACAATATTTAAGATGAAGCTTTCTTATTATGAATTGAAGTTTTTGCCGCATTTTCTGGCATTGATATAAACTAGGATTATTGACTTCGCTCGAAAATTAACTAAATGATAGACATAGGACATTTACCTAATGGAAAATCACCTATATTCGACTACAAACCAAACTGGGAAATAGAGAAACACTTTCAAAACGATCCGCGCGACACTAAACAATATCATAACACACTTTCAAACCCAGGCATATTTTCAAATCTTGTTTTCCCAAATGGGGAATATTTACACCATAAAATAAAACACAGGTCACTTTAGGTCCATCATCATCTAACAAAATTAAGTTTACGGTTCATTGCACCCGTAATATCATCTATACTTCGCCGAAAATTATAGGCGTCATCCTTGACCATCACCGGAACTTCATGTACAATTTCAAAAAGATCCGCGCGACACTAAACAATATCAGAACACATAGACACCTTTAAATATTTTCGTATAACACCCACATCCGGTACAAATAACAATATATATAATCAATTGAAAGGTCAATCACTTCTCATGGAAATACTATCAATTTGTCGGATCTATGTCCTTTAGGAGTAAATATATACGTCCCAGAATACAAATTTCTTAATTTTTTACACAAAAGTCTGGATCCATTTAACCCGCTAAATATTGACCGATCTTCATCAAAACAGTCATGCTTATTCTTTGGCCAGATTTTCTTCCTGGTGTACGAACAGACAAAAATAAAGTTTTTGGTCGATTTCATCCCCTAAGTATTAACCGATCATTACCTTCTTTTGCCAGAATTCATTCGACATTGAAAAATTTCGGACAACAATTAATTGTATAATATCATGCGAACATCCGATTTGAATCGAACCTATTATCTACACCTCGGATATATCTTTCCAAGCCTAGATTTTCAAGTTGAAAAATGGAACTGGAATTAGTGTACATTCGAATTAAATCAAAAAAAATTGACCCCGAGAATGGGGGGTCCCCTTAAAATTGTGCAAAAATTTATTTTATAATAGCATGCCAATGGACTGTCTGATTTGAACTAAACTTTGTGCAACCTATACCAAAAACATTTGTAAACGGCACTAAATACCTAAATTTGCAAGGTTTTGTTATATGGGCTCCCCAACAAAGTGTTCACACTGATAATTTTATAAAACCAATTTCACACAATGAAATTTGATTTAAACCAAGTTCTTGCTAAATAAGTTAAAAACAAAAATTTCCCGAATGTGTTCAACAATTTTAAACTATATCTTAAATGTGGCAAGAGGGACAAGGCAAAATGATAAAAGAAATACAACTTTTTATCCGATTAATTTCAATAAATTCAAAACGTATTAAACTTGCAGAAGGGGTGGGCTCAAAAGTATGCACGAGGTCAATCACTTGTCTGCGGATACATAGCTTTCTTCCATAAAAATTCTTGTCCACTTAAGTTGAAGTTTCACTATTACTTTAAAACCTTTTTGTTTTAAGAGACATGTCATGCCCACAACTTTCAGTATGTTTACCTACTTCGTTATTTTCAATATGTGACAAATATTGTAATTTGAGCCAAAAAATAAAATTCTGAATAGTAATTTTTCGATCCAAATTTGAATTTAGTCTAAATATCAATTTATACAGTAGTTTTGATTTAGCTGCCTTGTAGATAGCTGCCCAAAATACACTTCTTTGGTATTTTTCTCACATTTCCTCTAAAATACTTCGCTTTATGGGGCACAATTCATAACTGCACATTTAAGATAACAGATCAAAACATTTGCACTTTTATATTCTCACCACTAAACATTTTTTTGCATTTAGTTGCACAGGGAATATCAAATTAAGAAACATCCGTTATTTGTAACACATCGTCGGAAACCACACGTAAGGACTTTTGTTTGTTTAATGCAATACATATATCCGTTAAAAACAATGGCCCTTTCACTATTCGATACCTTGGATTGATCGTGTATTCCAGAAAATGCAACATTGTCCTCGTTTTATTCAGTGATTTCACTTACGTGCACGTTGAGGCAGATAAGCTTTTTCAGATATCTGCACTTTTGACCTTTCTGCACTGAAATTATTTCAAGCGTTTTTGGGTAGGTAATTCAAAACTACTATTCAAATTTACGAAATCAAAATTTGTATAGAAGACTCTCCCCCGCTATTTACAATTCCAACAGACTGAATTTCGAAAACAACGCACCTATATGGATTTATAACTAAGTCGATTTCTGGCCTCTCAACTATATATCAACAAAATAATTAACATATTTTATTATCTTCATATTTTTGCGTACTGTCATCATATTCGAATATTAAATAATAAAATTTATCTCTGGTCTCAATATTCTCAATGTTCATATCCAACTGTTTCTGTCAGTGGTGACTTGCTTACCCACAATGACATAATCATGATGTATTGTTCTCCCCATTTTCTGTTGTTGTTGCTGCGTTAAGTCCAGATGATTCTCGGGGGGATAGTATACGCCATCATCCGACAAATTGGTCAATTGATGTTTCAGACAACAACAGCTACTTTTGCTACCACTGCCATCGCCTCGACCACCACCACCACCTCCTCCTCCATCATCATCGTCGTCGTCATCAATGGGACAACAATAACAGCAACAACACAAACGTTGCGAAGCACATGCCGAACATTTGTTGATAAGATTTGAAAAGAACCGGGCAAGTAAGTTGTGCAAAACCGTCCAATAGACACGTATAGACCAACACATAGTTTTGAGCCGGCGAGGCGCGGTAACTTGTACGATAAGCGATAACTTGTTTCAAAAGGTGTGCGTCTTTTTGTTTGTCAACCAAATATGATTTTTTCAAAACAAACTTTTGGTTTTTGTTTTTTTTTTTTAATTTTGTTTGTAAAATTTTGCACGTGTTTGTTGCAAATTGTAATTTCACACAAATTTTAATATATTAAAAATAATTCTATTTATTATAATTGATTATTATTTGCTAAGTTTATTTTGTTTATTTTTGAAAATCACAAAACTTAGATGCACACAGTGTAGAGGAATGGAATCGCGCAGCGACATGTTTACGATATGAGATCTTAATGAATACTAAACACAAATTCAAGCTCAAATGATACATATTAATGAACGGATTGTATGACTTAGATGGAGATAGGTATAATAAATTTGGGTGAATATTAAAGATTTTTAAATGTAGGAAAATGTATTTAGATATGTATGGAATTTTATGTGTGTATTCATTAACATTTATATGTATTATTGAAAAAATCTTAGACTACAAATCATAACGGTTTCCCTATCCAGTATTTTTCGCAATAGGTTTTGTTGTCTTTTTATATATTTATTTAGTTTTTTTTTAATTTTTTAGTTAGTATTTTCTCTTAAAGCAAATATTCTTTACATCCCAACTTGGACATACCACTCTCGTATAGATTAATTCATTATTATCCTCCTGATAATTAAAATAGTTCCTGATGATCATCATGATGATATTTAATATGACAAATTACAATAAGCAATTATAAAACGTCTTCTTAAACAAACGATTAGTAAAAGAAAGAAAAAACAACATTTACAAAAACAATGAGAAAAAATCTTATTGTCACTGCTTCATAATTTCAATATGTAAAGTGTTGAGTTCGTAAAAAAAAACATACACATGAATTACAGTATATTTGGTACATAAATCAAAATGTGTATCGGACATTAGGGCATATCAAATTACAAAATTTTACTGTAAATATGTGAAATAGAATAGAAACGGTTTGGCAGATTACGACATTTTGCGGTTTCAAATGATAATATACCAACAAACAGAAATGTCTCCAAAAGAGTAAATATTTTTCATATCGCCCGCATTCAAGCGCTCTAAAATAATATTATGGGGTTATATTAATTTTGTCATTCCGCTTGTAAATCCTCACAATTTCCGACCCTATTATGTATATATTCTTGATCAGGGTAAACTACTAAGACGATGTATATATCTTCCAAATTAATTAATATTGGGTGCTGTAAATTCAACATAGAATTTGAGTTCGAAGATGGGCTATATCGACAATATTGTCTGTAATTGTGCATTATTATTGGGTCACACATCTTCTTTCAAACTTTATCAATATCTATCCACGTCTAGGTATAGCCTCCGATTTTCAAACGAATTGAATTTTGCAAAGAGTATCAATATAGGTCCACTTTTTTCGGTTGGAAATGTAGTTTAGAATTTTATTACGATCAAGAATATATACATTTTATCAGGATCGACGATCCGAAATAAAAAAAAAAAACAGTAAGCGGAGCAGTATAGTCGGACGGGCCGACCATATAATATCCTACACAACTGTTGGACCATCAATTGTGGCCTATAGATCGTCTCAAAAAAAAACACCAAAAGTTAGGCGTTGTCCTTGACCATAAGTGGAATCTCATGGAAATTTTCAAACCAAGCCTAGATCAAGTTAGAAGATGGGACTCATTGGTCCACTCCTATAGGTACATCCCCCACAAATGGTCAAAAATTTCAATATTTATAAATCCAATATCAGGCAAAGGGGAATGTCCGATTTGAACCAAACTTGGCACAACCTATTATCTTTCCCAATTTTCGACCAATTCTGAAGATGGGACCCAATGGTCCACTCCTTCTGGTACCTTTCCACAAATGGTCAAAATTTTCAATATAAATAAATCCAATATCCGGCGATTGGAATGCCGGATTTGAACTAAATTTTGCACAACTTTTGATCTTTACCAATCCAAGATCAAGTCCAATGGTGGGACAAAGAGGGTTAATATTATATATTTTATCAACATAAAATTCGAAACATATTTAATTAAACATATATACCTTATATAAAACGAATAATAAAATCTGTGTATAACTCCGAATTTCTCCGCAAACCATAAGGTCAGGGTTTATATTAGGTTGGGGAAGAAGAAATCCATTATTTGCTCGTCGAAAGTGAATCACATACGATAACCCTGTGCGAAAACGATCGTGGTCAAAGAGCTGTGAAACACCTCAAACGGTGCCAAACCAGGACTAAAGGCCAGGAAGTTTCTGCTATGTATTTGGTGGGACTGGAAGGGGATTATTTATTATGAGTTGATTCCATATGTCTAAACGCTAAACTCTGATCTCTACTGTCAACAACTGGATCGTTTGAAGATATCAATTGACCAGAAACGGCCAGAATTGACTCGCCAGAATCTTCGGGAGCTTGGTTGGGAAGTTTTAATACATCCGCCTTACAGTCCGGACTTGGCACCAAGCGATTATCCTATTTTTTTGCATTGCAACATTTCTTTAATGATAAAAAATTTGTATCTAGGATGGATTGTGAATATCGACTACTAAAGTAAAGAGAACGGGACTTCTATGAGAGAGACATTATGAAAATGGCAATAAAACGGTGCATATTTGCCCCAAATCGGACATTCCGAAGCATGTTAAATAAAGTTCTACAGTTCATATAAACCTAATATATGTCGGCAACAGCGACTGACACTGTTTTACTTGCTTACATTCAGGATCCACCCAAATAAACTTTGGAGGTCAATACCATTACAATTTTGCAACGACAGATTAATTAACCCAAAACTGTTCACTTTTTCTCATACACATTAATAATTCTCGAATAATAAAGGGATGAATCTCGGCTTCAGCTATGTTAAAAATGGTCATATATAATTTTGAATTCCTTAATCTAGTTCAGATCCCTATAGTTTAATTTGCAAAAAATCCGACTTTTTTGCGACTTTTTTTATACGATAAATGATAGTTATCCCGATTCGCACTCATAAGTCCCGATTCGCATTATTACAATAAGAGTTTTAAAAAGTATTTGCATTGTTTGTAAACTGCCTAATGTAAATTTTTGTGTAATGACTATGCAGTTCTTTATCTATTGTTAAGAGCCCTGTCAACTCGAAACAACAACTCCTTCCGGATTTCAAATTTATTACACATTTAGTTCATAATAACACAGTGACTAACATAAGTGTAGCGTTAAAATAGTATTCCTAATTTAAGGCTTATTTCCTATCAATTAACCTTTAAGGAGAGTAAAAAATGTAAAACGTAGGTAAAGTTGAAACAATTGTTTATATATAAAATGAGACTTGCACTTTTGTTCTCTACGGTTCTCTACGAATAAACAACAACCATCCACCATCACTATAAAAGTTATAATCTAATGTGATTTATTTAAATTTGTTTTTTTTTTTGTTAATTCTGCCACAACTGGTGTGTTAAATGCTGTTCCATACTATCTCTTGCTATTGTTGTTTCTGTTACTGTCTGATCTCTAGACTTTTGGGAGCCAATTGAAATGTAATACGCGAATATGTAGTTCCACTCATTCATTCATTCAGCACATACCATGATGATATCTATCTCTAGTGTGTTGTGCAGCAGTACAATCCGTTCAGCTTAATAAAGGGATATACATATTACAGAACAAAAAACTGAGGGTGATCACAATACAGACACATGTTAATGACAAATGACCTTGACAAAGCGTTGATCTTCTGTTCTGTTTTTTTCTGCCTGTATTGTGCTCTTGTTATATTCCCGTGCTGTTCATGTTCTACAGGAAAATACAAAAAACAGAAACATGTGCATTTGGTGAAATATTAAATTACATTCTCATCCATTGCAGTACATGTGGGGAAATTTTCTATTGGATGGCATTTGATAAAACACACATTTATTTCAGAGCCCAGAATCTCCAGCCACATCAAGACTAAATATTTTTAGCTGAGTACATAATCCAATATTATTGATATAAATTTAAAGGTCAACCACTGCTCTGGGATATATATTCAACTTCTCCAATATATGTATTTCCGGAATAAATATATACGCCATTGAATGAACATGTGCCACATTTCAAACGGGTCCATTTGGCGCGCTAAAAATTGACCGATAATCATCTAAACAGTATTTGGCCAGTTTTCCTTCCCCGTGGAAATTTCATGATGTTCACTTCGTAATTCTAAAGCGATCTGAAAAACATACAACAAAAATTTATTTTTTTGACCCCCTAAATATTAACCGATAATTGCCTATACACACCTGTCTATATCGACTCAGCTACATTTTTTATCTTCTTAAAAATTCATTCCTCCGCCTCATTATACCCTTCACCACACTGTGGTACAGGGTATTATGTCTTTGTGCATATGTTTGTAACAGGCAAAAAGAAACAAGATAGACACATGGTTCCTTTTGAGAATATGCATAGAATCACTTTCTAAGTCGATTTATGCATGTCCGTCCGTCTGTCCGTCTGTAGATGTTAAATTGTAAACAAAGTACAGGTCGCATTTATGATCCGATTTAGATGAAATTTGGCACAAGTCACTTATTTGGCCCAAGGACGAACCCTATTGAAATTGAGAAAAATCGGTTCAGATTTAGATATAGCTCGAATATATTTTTGTCCGATTTAAATGGTGCACCAAAGTCCCTATATATCATTCCATTTGCACGAAATTAGGCATAGAGTATTGAATTAGGTCCAGAATTATGTGTGCTAAGTTTCGTGAAAATCGGTCCAGATTTAGATATAGCTCCCATATGTATTTTCGTCCGATTTAAAGTAAATGGGTCTCCAAAGTCCCTAAATATCTTTCGATTTGCACGAAATTTGGCATAGCGTACTGAATTGAGCCTAGAATGATGTGTGCTATGTTTTGTGGAAATCGCTTCAGATTTAGATATAGCTCCCATATATATATATATA